ATTGGAGGCCCTGACAGTTTGACAGGAGCACCCACCAGGGATGAGATACAACAGATGCCTTTTTCTCTTTCTCTCTCGTTTCACTCTCTCCCCTGTGTCTGCGTGTGTGCTCTGTAACTGCATGTGATGATACCACTCTCTGCTGTTATGCGTGTCCTCAGTCTGAACAGAAAGGCAGATTCAACTGGTAGTCGAAAAGGGCTCATTCAGCTTTTTATTAGCGTTCAAAAAACCTGTTTATACCCGCTTATTTGGAGTGATAAAGGGTATAATGTAGCTTTACAGTTTTACCTGGAAATGATTGACAACTTACACAATGGCAGAATTCTGTAGGAAAAAATTACCTTTAGAGCCCATGTTCATCACGTCACCACCACCTTTTAATGAAATGAAAATTAATTTAGTTTTGATTTTGTTATGACTGATTTGCCTCATGTTAACATTTGTACCATGTTTCAAGAACCATAAGAAGATAGGTACGAATGTACAAATGTATTAAGGTCATAACCGTACATGAATGATGAACAGGTACCAATAGAAAAACAAGACTTTGCAGCAGTCTTACCTTCAACATGTAAATCTATACACTGAAAATCGGATGCCACTTGTGTAGAATCCACAGACATACAGTCCAGAGTCTGATAAATCCACTTGTTTGATTTTAGAAAGAGGTTGGAGATGTTTGATCTCATTTCAAAATTTCCATTATTATATCCATCACAGAAATCTGCTGCGCTGTCAGATTTGATCATAACTGAGATGCAGCGGACCTTGGTTTTGTTGATCTGCCTGAACCAGAATGTCACAGAGTCGAATTTGGAAATGTTGGAGACAACATTGTGACTTCTTCACCTGGTCGGCCCCTCAGAGTCTGAAACTCAGACACTGAGACAGAGATCCAGCCTGAAACAAACAGCAGACACAACAATAGATTTAGGTATTTTAAACAACGTGAAAAATAGCTCTTAATAAAAGTCACCAAGAACATAATAAGTAAATGTTTTCATTTAAAATGAGTTAAACATACAATAGTAAAATTAGCACAAAGATTAATTCAGTTCTGGTACTTACTGAGGATGCAGAGAATGAGAGGTGTTATCAAGCTTAAGTTCATCATTGTGTGTAGACTGAAACTTTGCAGGGCTTCTAACTGAAATGAGTCCAGGAAGGCTGTGTTTTCACCATAAAGAGGAAGGATGCTTTTCTTCATGTCCCCCTCTGTGGTTCTCTCTCTCCTTGAGAGCGTACACTGTCAAAAGTTCCTCACTCACAAAAAGTGACAGTATTTATCGAAGCCTCTTAATGTTACTTGCATCAGAATATTTGAAATATTTGGAAGCACTTGTTTCCCACTGCATCTTATGTACACCTATATACATAAGGCATTTTAATCAGTCTTAGCATAAACATGTAGACTACTATCTTAACATCTGTGGCTTGGCTGCTGTTTTTCAGTGGTGAGCTGTCTGATATTTGAGGTCATTTTCACTGTCAAGACAAACAAAAGTTATGTGTATCTTTTATTTTGGAAGGAGGGATGAAGATCTGACAATCTTGCATAAAGGTTTTGATATTTAGCTTATACATAATAGTGACTAAAAATATAAAAAATAAAACTATTTGTTTTGTCAAATAACATGAAGAGGAAAAAGACAAATGTAAGGTAGCTCAACTTCTCTTTCCTGTAAACTTTTCTGTGCATGTCAGCATCAGCAATTTCATTTGAGCAAAACAGGAAAAAAACAACAAAACAAAACCACCCCTCCTCTTTTATAACTGACATCACCCTCACTACACAGTTCAGTTAGAGACATTGCAGCGCTGCAGTCGTACACACCATGAAGACCTTCACCTTGATAACAGCTTTACTTCTCTGCAGCTTCAGTGAGTACTGACACTCAATTACTCTATTACATTTAGATCTATGGTGACTCTGACCCACCAGAGTTTTAAACTTCCACATTAGAGCTGAATGAATTGTTGCTGTTGCTTTATTCCAGTAACTGTTACATTATACACTCAGAGATAAAACTCTTGTTGTGTCTGCTGTTTGTTTCAGGCTGGATCTCTGTCTCAGTATCTCAGTCTCAGACTGTGGACGTCTGTTATGACCGGGTCTCGCAGCAACGTTTCATACTGTGATGGATATAATTTGAAATGAGCTCCAACACCTCCACCCTCTTTCTCAAATCAAACAAGTGGATTTATCAGACTCTGGACTGTATTTTTGTGGATTTTAAACAAGTGGATGTCTGATTTTCAGTGTAATATACTTAGGTGAGATTCCTGTAAATTATTCTTTATTTTGGTTTCCTTTCTTGGTTGTTTCTCTGACACGATCTGTCGCAGCATCCTGTTGAACAGACTGAGGCCCTGGGTCTATCTGGTGCAGCTTTAGGATGGTTTTCAACTTTTGTGTCAAAGAGAGGTTCTGTGTCTCTGTGAACGACTCTTCTCTCACTTTCTTCTAGTAAGTATGGTATGCCTCAGGGATTGGTGTTGGGACCAATTTGATTTTCTTCATACATGCTTCCCCTTGTTATACTGATATACACAGATGTACCTGCCTGTTAAACACCACAGACCCTGGAAGGCTGAGCTCACTCAATGCCAGCCTTTGATGATATGATGTTTTCTTCAGCTGAACTCAAACAGTATCAGCACATGGTGAGACACATTCTGCCCTCTGCTATTGCCTGGTGGAACATATCAAGCCATGTTGCAGGGAATCTTGGCATCTGGTTTGATAGTAGTTTAAGTTTGACCATGAAGCTTGTGCAATCATGGTTTTTATCGTCTTATAGATATTTCAAAAACAGAATTTATTTCAACTTTTAAAGACACAGAGACCATCCTACACGCCTTCATCTCATCATGTCTGGATTACTACAACTGCCTTTTTACTTGCCTGAGCCGGAAACCTACTGATCGTCCCAAACTGTACAGAACTCAGCTGCAAGGTTTTCTACTAGAATCACTCCTGTTTTAGCCTCTTTATCCTGGCTCCCAGTATGTTTTAGAACTGATAACTAAGCTCTTACTGATGACTTTAAGGCTTTTTGAGGCCTCTCTCCCTACTTTATCTTGGACCTTTTACTACCTTACGTGCTGGTACATACTTTGAGATCCTTGGGCAGAGGTCTTTTATCTTTTCCAGAGGCCCCAATGTTTGCAGTCAGGGCCCCACGACTTGGAAAGAAATCAGCAGACTCAGCAATTTCTTTTATTGGAGAGTCTTTCCAGATTTTCCTTGAGTTTTAACTGTTTATTCTCCTTTAAAATATTCTTTCTCTGTTGTATTTACCGGACTGGTTTTCATACACCAGATTGTATCTCTTTAAACCTGATGATTTTATGACTTTTTCATTTTGCTGCCCTGAATCACTTTGTAACTTGGATTTTGAAAACAAGAAATTATTATTATTATTATTTTATTTTTATTATTATTACAGTGCTGCTATCATTGCTGCTATATGTTGATAACACCATTACACATGGCGTTACTGTCATTATTTCACTTATAACAACAACAGTCAATGGTCTATAACACTGTCCTGGTCTCTCACGCTCTCCTTTATCTCCCTTCTTTCCCTCTCTTTCCCCTATTTGGTTACGCTTTAAGTTCATACCAGTTATCATAATATCATATGCTGAGCAGCCCATGACCCTGGAAAGTAATCTTTCTGTCTCTCTTTCTCCTCATTTTTTCATTTGAGGGTGAATTCATCACACATTAACGATTAATGATGTGCTGTCTAAATACGGGCATTGCAGACGCACTTGGTTTTCATTTGAATCAACCTTACATTTAATGCTTTTTAATCCCACAGCTGTGCTGGTTTCTGTTCTCTTTCCGAATACTTCCTACTTAAACGTTTCTCTTGTACAGACTTGATGCTTCCACTTCTCTTTTCCCATTGTTCTGCCCCTTTTACAAACATGTCTGACCTTTGAAAATCAGCATTGTGTAATTGTAGGCCTATGTATGTAGGAATCTCAGTGCGATTAATTTTAAAAACAATAATTAATAATAAATAGCCCCTCAGATTGTATCTTGTGACCTCTGGAGGGCCCGACCCCATGGCTTAAACCACTGACCTACCCCACAGTCGTTACAGTAGCTACAACATACAGTGCTGCTTACACATTGTTGTATAGTATTAGCAATCTAATAAATTATAATATGCTAACAAGTACTAATAAATATATGCTAATTGCTGATATACTTCTGCACTTTAACAATAGTATTTTTACTTGTTTGTAATAATACTTTATGAAGTAGCTCAGAACTGAGCGAGATTACTTAGTTACGTTCCAGCACTGATACGAAATAAGGCGTATTTGGGGGTGCATTGATTGGTGGTTGCCATGGTTACCAGTCAACTATATCGGTTATGGATGAGGCAGTAACATGATCCTGTCCGATCTGCCCATAGAATAGAATATTCAAATGAATCTAGTCGGTGATTCTATGGAATGTGACTCACAATGAGAGATTCTGTTGGTTCAGGTCATTTGTAGATACACACACAGTTAACGTCAACAGCCTCAGAGACACAAAACACACAGTTCAAGACAAAAAAAAAAAACCTGACTGTTAACTAAACGGAGCATCAGTGAAGCAGCAGGTAAGTACTGAAATGAGATCTTATTTAGCAAGGTTTGAACTGTTGTTTTCAAATGCAGAAGCATTCATTTTAGTAGTATTATTCAGTTGTCATAACTCAGATAGACCTTAACTCCTAAAAACACACACGTCTATAACTACTATGTTGTCAAAAAATGAAATATAAATTGTGTCTCAACAAAGTCGAAAAAAAAGTCAAAAAAGATAGTGGCTGATGTTGATACAGTACACTCATGAAGGAGCTCAGATCCTTTACTTCAGTAGAAAAAGCAAAGACACATTTCAAAAATTTTACAAGTAAAATTCAACGTTTTACTGAAATAAAAAGTTCATCAGTTTTTATTGCAAAATTTTTATTAAAGTTTAAAGTTTTTGTATTTTGTATTATTTATTTAATCAAAAAACTGATATTAACCATTAAATAATAATATAACACCACAATCTCTCTCTTTGGCTCGGCTCCAGCACTGTGCTTGCAGCTACACCGTGTGCGAGGATGAAAGAGTGAGCTGCAGCCATTAAATAATAAAAAAAACAAAAAAAAAACACACACAATCACAGATCGAAGTGTCTCCCATGGAGGCCCTGACAGTTTGACAGGAGCACCCACCAGTGGATGAGATACGACAGATGCCTTTTTTCTCTTTCTCTCTCGTTTCACTCTCTCCCCTGTGTCTGCGTGTGTGCTCTGTAACTGCATGTGATGATACCACTCTCTGCTGTTATGCGTGTCCTCAGTCTGAACAGAAAGGCAGATTCAACTGGTAGTCGAAAAGGGCTCATTCAGCTTTTTATTAGCGTTCAAAAAACCTGTTTATACCCGCTTATTTGGAGTGATAAAGGGTATAATGTAGCTTTACAGTTTTACCTGGAAATGATTGACAACTTACACAATGGCAGAATTCTGTAGGAAAAAATTACCTTTAGAGCCCATGTTCATCACGTCACCACCACCTTTTAATGAAATGAAAATTAATTTAGTTTTGATTTTGTTATGACTGATTTGCCTCATGTTAACATTTGTACCATGTTTCAAGAACCATAAGAAGATAGGTACGAATGTACAAATGTATTAAGGTCATAACCGTACATGAATGATGAACAGGTACCAATAGAAAAACAAGACTTTGCAGCAGTCTTACCTTCAACATGTAAATCTATTACACTGAAAATCGGACGGCCACTTGTGTAGAATCCACAGACATACAGTCCAGAGTCTGATAAATCCACTTGTTTGATTTTGAGAAAGAGGTTGGAGATGTTTGATCTCATTTCAAAATTTCCATTATTATATCCATCGCAGAAATCTGCTGCGCTGTCAGATTTGATCATAACTGAGACGCAGCGGACCTTGGTTTTGTTGATCTGCCTGAACCAGAATGTCACAGAGTCGAATTTGGAAATGTTGGAGATCAACATTGTGACTTCTTCACCTGGTCGGCCCCTCAGAGTCTGAAACTCAGACACTGAGACAGAGATCCAGCCTGAAACAAACAGCAGACACAACAATAGATTTAGGTATTTTGAAACAACGTGAAAAATAGCTCTTAATAAAAGTCACCAAGAACATAATAAGTAAATGTGTTTCATTTAAAATGAGTTAAACATACAATAGTAAAATTAGCACAAAGATTAATTCAGTTCTGGTACTTACTGAGGATGCAGAGAATGAGAGGTGTTATCAAGCTTAAGTTCATCATTGTGTGTATGACTGAAACTTTGCAGGGCTTCTAACTGAAATGAGTCCAGGAAGGCTGTGTTTTCACCATAAAGAGGAAGGATGCTTTTCTTCATGTCCCCCTCTGTGGTTCTCTCTCTCCTTGAGAGCGTACACTGTCAAAAGTTCCTCACTCACAAAAAGTGACAGTATTTATCGAAGCCTCTTAATGTTACTTGCATCAGAATATTTGAAATATTTGGAAGCACTTGTTTCCCACTGCATCTTATGTACACCTATATACATAAGGCATTTTAATCAGTCTTAGCATAAACATGTAGACTACTATCTTAACATCTGTGGCTTGGCTGCTGTTTTTCAGTGGTGAGCTGTCTGATATTTGAGGTCATTTTCACTGTCAAGACAAACAAAAGTTATGTGTATCTTTTATTTTGGAAGGAGGGATGAGATCTGACAATCTTGCATAAAGGTTTTGATATTTAGCTTATACATAATAGTGACTAAAAATATAAAAATAAACTATTTGTTTTGTCAAATAACATGAAGAGGAAAAAGACAAATGTAAGGTAGCTCAACTTCTCTTTCCTGTAAACTTTTCTGTGCATGTCAGCATCAGCAATTTTCAGTTTGAGCAAAACAGGAAAAAAACAACAAAACAAAACCACCCCCTCCTCTTTTATACTGACATCACCCTCACTACACAGTTCAGTTAGAGACATTGCAGCGCTGCAGTCGTACACACCATGAAGACCTTCACCTTGATAACAGCTTTACTTCTCTGCAGCTTCAGTGAGTACTGACACTCAATTACTCTATTACATTTAGATCTATGGTGACTCTGACCCACCAGAGTTTAAACTTCCACATTAGAGCTGAATGAATTGTTGCTGTTGCTTTATTCCAGTAACTGTTACATTATACACTCAGAGATAAAACTCTTGTTGTGTCTGCTGTTTGTTTCAGGCTGGATCTCTGTCTCAGTATCTCAGTCTCAGACTGTGGACGTCTGTTATGACCGGGTCTCGCAGCAACGTTTCATACTGTGATGGATATAATTTGAAATGAGCTCCAACATCTCCACCCTCTTTCTCAAAATCAAACAAGTGGATTTATCAGACTCTGGACTGTTTTGTGGATTTTAAACAAGTGGATGTCTGATTTTCAGTGTAATATACTTAGGTGAGATTCCTGTAAATTATTCTTTATTTTGGTTTCCTTTCTTGGTTGTTTCTCTGACACGATCTGTCGCAGCATCCTGTTGAACAGACTGAGGCCCTGGGTCTATCTGGTGCAGCTTTAGGATGGTTTTCAACTTTTGTGTCAAAGAAGAGGTTCTGTGTCTCTGTGAACGACTCTCTCTTCACTTTCTTCTAGTAAGTATGGTATGCCTCAGGGATTGGTGATGGGACCAATTTGATTTTCTTCATACATGCTTCCCCTTGTTATACTGATGATACACAGATGTACCTGCCTGTTAAACCCACAGACCCTGGAAGGCTGAGCTCACTCAATGCCAGCCTTTGATGATATGATGTTTTCTTCAGCTGAACTCAAACAGTATCAGCACATGGTGAGACACATTCTGCCCTCTGCTGATTGCCTGGTGGAACATATCAAGCCATGTTGCAGGGAATCTTGGCATCTGGTTTGATAGTAGTTTAAGTTTGACCATGAAGCTTGTGCAATCATGGTTTTTATCGTCTTATAGATATTTCAAAAACAGAATTTATTTCAACTTTTAAAGACACAGAGACCATCCTACACGCCTTCATCTCATCATGTCTGGATTACTACAACTGCCTTTTTACTTGCCTGAGCCGGAAACCTACTGATCGTCCCCAAACTGTACAGAACTCAGCTGCAAGGTTTTCTACTAGAATCACTCCTGTTTTAGCCTCTTTATCCTGGCTCCCAGTATGTTTTAGAACTGATACTAAGCTCTTACTGATGACTTTAAGGCTTTTTGAGGCCTCTCTCCCTACTTTATCTTGGACCTTTTACTACCTTACGTGCTGGTACATACTTTGAGATCCTTGGGCAGAGGTCTTTTATCTGTTCCAGAGGCCCCAATGTTTGCAGTCAGGGCCCCACGACTTGGAAAGAAATCAGCAGACTCAGCAATTTCTTTTATTGGAGAGTCTTTCCAGATTTTCCTTGAGTTTTAACTGTTTATTCTCCTTTAAAATATTCTTTCTCTGTTGTATTTACCGGACTGGTTTTCATACACCAGATTGTATCTCTTTAAACCTGATGATTTTATGACTTGTTTCATTTTGCTGCCCTGAATCACTTTGTAACTTGGATTTTGAAAACAAGAAATTATTATTATTATTATTATTATTTTTATTATTATTACAGTGCTGCTATCATTGCTGCTGTTATTGTTGATAACACCATTACACATGGGCGTTACTGTCATTATTTTCACTATAACAATCAACAGTCAATGGTCTATACAGCTGGTCCTGGTCTCTCGCTCTCCTTTATCTCCCTCTCTTTCCCTCTCTTTCCCCTATTTGGTTACGCTTTAAGTTCATACCAGGTTATCATATATCATATGCTGAGCAGCCCTGACCCTGGAAAGTAATCTTCTGTCCTCTCTTTCTCCCATCTTTCTCCATCTTTGAGGGTGAATTCATCACACATTAACGATAATGATGTGCTGTCTAAATGACTGGGCATTGAGAGCACTTGGTTTTCATTTGAATCAACCATACATTTAATGCTTTTTAATCCCACAGCTGTGCTGGTTTCTGTTCTCTTTCCGAACTACTTCCTACTTGAACGTTTCTCTTGTACAGACTTGATGCTTCCACTTCTCTTTTCCCATTGTTCTGCCCCTTTTACAAACATGTCTGACCTTGAAAATCAGCATTGTGTAATTGTAGCCTATGTATGTAGAATCTCAGTGCATTAATTTAAACAATAATTAATAAATAAATAGCCCCTCAGATTGATCTTGTGACCCTCTGGAGGGGCCCGACCCCATGGCTTAAACCACTGACCTACCCCACAGTCTGTACAGTAGCTACAACAGTACAGTGCTGCTTACACATTGTTGTATAGTATTAGCAATCTAATAATATTATATATGCTAACAATACTAATAAATATATGCTAATTGCTGATTATACTTCTGCACTTTACAATAGTATTTTTACGTTGTTGTAATAATACTTTATGAAGTAGCTCAGAACTGAGCGAATGTACTTAGTTACGTTCCAGCACTGAACGAAATAAGGCGTATTTGGGGGGGGCATTGATGGTGGTTGCCATGGTTACCAGTCAACTGTATCGGTTATGGATGAGGCAGTAACATGATCCTGTCCGATCTGCCCATAGAATAGAATATTCAAATGAATCTATGTCGGTGATTCTATGGAATGTGACTCACAATGAGAGATTCTGTTGGTTCAGGTCACTTGTAGATAACACACACAGTTAACGGTCAACAGCCTCAGAGACACAAAACACACAGTTCAAGACAAAAAAAAAAAACCTGACTGTTAACTAACCGGAGCATCAGTGAAAGCAGCAGGTAAGTACTGAAATGAGGAGTCTTATTTTAGCAAGGTTTGAACGTGTTGTTTTCAAATGCAGAAGCAGTCATTTTTAGTAGTTTTCAGTTGTCATAACTCAGATAGACTTAACTCCCTAAACACACACGTCTATGAACTACTAGTTGTCAATAAAATGAAATATTAATATTGTGTCTCAACAAAGTCGAAAAAAAAGTCAAAAAAGATAGTGGCTGATGGTTGATACAGTTACACTCATGAAGGAGCTTCAGATCCTTTACTTCAGTAGAAAAAGCAAAGACACATTTCAAAAATTTTACAAGTAAATTCAACGTTTTACTGAAATAAAAGTTCATCAGTTTTATTGGCAAAATTGATTAAAGTTTAAAGCTTTGTATTTTGTATTATATTATTTAATTACACGCCAAAAACTGATAATTCACCATGTACAATAATAAATAACACACACCAACTGTGCAATGTCCCTTTTCTGCTGCTAGTTTTTTGTAATATCTAATTGTATGAATTATTATACGTATTATTACCTACTATTTATCTTGTTTTTAAATTCTTTATATTGACATTTACACTGCAAATTATCCCAATGTGGGACTAATAAAGGAATATCTTATCTCTTATCAATACTTATTCATCCTCATGTAAGCTGCATTTGAATTCTGCATGCTGAGGTGAGAGCAATTATTATATATAGTTGGATTGTTTAATCATATTTTACAAGCTGATCATGTTAAATAACCTACATTAAATCTTTATCTGCAAAGTGAGTAGTAACTTTAACTGTCAGGTAAATGTAGAAAAGGAAAATGTCCGGTATTTCCCTCTGAAATGTAATGAAGCAGAAGTTATGCACTTAGTACTTTTATGTTTATATATTGTTCCCTATAAAAATGTCTTAAAACCAGCTTCCTAGAGACAGAATCAGTGACAAACATCTGTGATGGATCTCGGAGCAGTGTTTGAACATGTCATAAAGGAGATGGAGTGGAGCGACGTGCTTGACACTGTGCAGGCCCTGGTTGGGGAAATGTTGGGAGACACACCCAACCCTCCACCCCAGCGTCCGCCTCCGCCTCCTCCTCCTCCTCCTCCTCCTCCCAATGAGCTCAGATTTGACACCCACCCTCAGCCGGTGGACAGAGGTTACGGTGGGTGCATCCCCCTGGGAGCAGCTCCACGCTGCTTGAAGGTCGGGCATGCTGCTCCCATTATCTACCAGGAGCAAAATATCCTGCAGCCAGGTCACCTGCACAACCAGGCAGGTGCTTACGCTCAGGAACAGGTAAGATACTGCGCAGAGTTTAGAGATAGGTTCTGAAGAACTTTATCAACACCTGTATCAGATCAGATAGTTATTGATGGTGGAAGCTTGAGGCCAACAGCAGGACAATTTTAATCTAAGCCCAACTGCTGTCACATGTGCTGCTTCATGTAATGAGTTGAGTTATGCATCAGTATTGTGAGGCCCTGCGCATCAGTATCCTTAATGACTGCCAATTAGTTGTAATTCAAAAGTGATAATTGATGAGTGCTCAGTGTAGTGAAGCTGTTAAGTGAGTTATATGCGTTATGCTATAAGTGTTTTCTACTGTGGTCTGAAATTCACGTGAACACATGCTCCTGACCTCTGTGACCCTCTGCAGGAGCATTCACACACTTTTGTATCATGGTCATGGACTCTGCAGGAATTCCACTGGAGGAGCTCGGAGCTTTTACTCCGCAGGCGGTGGTGCCGGTGACACGTGTGACGGTGCAGCTCGGCTAATCACCTGTTCCGTGTGTGTTTGTGTCTCCAGTATGACGACGTGCCGGTGTTGAGGCTCCCCAACGCCATGAAGGAGAACCTGGTTACCATTGGAATAGTGTATGTAACACAGACACACACACACACACACACACACACACACACACACACACACACACACACACACACACACACACACACACACACACACACACACACACACACACACACACACATCAAACACTGTCAGCCTCTGTCTGTGTCTTCAAACGCACTTCGTCTGCTGTCTAATGTATCTGTCTGCTGTTATTCATGTAGGAACGGAGAGTTGGTGTACGGATTTCCTGCAGAGGGATTCCCTCCCGTTTCTCCTGGTGCTCCTTCACCGAACACCTCCATGTCACTGTAAGTCAGCCTGACCGGCTCATGATCTCATGACCACAGCGAAAGTCAAATGACAGTCACCTTATGTGTCATTTTTTGCAGCTTCGAGTGTCTGTTATCTGTCGATCGAGAACACCGCCAACTTTTATCTCTTCAACTATTATTGTGCTTCTTCCATGCTTTCCCACAGAAAGAGAAAGAGTGAGATCCAGCAGGATGAAGGCCGGCCATACATCAAGAAGCCGCCCAACGCCTTCATGCTCTTCAGGAAGGAGCAGAGGGCGAAGGTTGTTGCAGAGCTGAACAACAACAATAACGCGACAGTGAATACTGTCATTGGACAGAGGGTAAGTGGCTTTGCTCTGTGTGATTTGAGACACTTCGTCACAGTTTCCTGCAGTAAATATTATTCTTTATTTTATATCATTCTTTTCTTGAAACAGAATGATTTATATTTCCTGTCATGTGACCCGGAAAACAAGTCTACATTTAAACAGGATTTCCAGCATTTTATTTTGACACGAATACACTGCACCTATTCACGTGGATCTGTGTGTGTTTCCGTTAACATGTTGTCATGCTTGTGTTTGTGCACCAGTCGGCCTGTGGAGGCCTGTAGTTGTGTGTAGTTGTGTGCTGCTGTGTGTTGCTGACAGTGTGTCGTCGTGCGTCCGCAGTGGAAGTCGATGTCGAAGGAGGAGCAGGCCAAGTACCATGAGGAGGCAGAGAAGGAGAGGACGCTCCACTCCCAGCAGTTCCCAGACTGGTCCTGCAGTGACAATTATGTATGTTACACCGTGCTCACATAACTACTCAAACATGTCTACATCACATGGAAATTTTTAATGTGTTTGTTTTTGTGTAGGGCAAAAAGAGGAAGAGGGTGAGGAGGAAAGCTCACACCACAGCCGATGGTGAGACAATGTTTCTGTGGATCACAGTGCGCTCTCATGTGACATGTGATAAATACGACAGAAATTGTGATGTTTTTGAAATGAAATGTGATTCTATTCGACATCGGTACCAAAAATGTGCCTCAATGCAAGTTTAAGAAGCAGCATCTGGTTTTGAAGGAATGTTATCGAGTCTCTGACGTGTCTGATCTGTGTTTTTGTGCGTTTGTGTTGCAGCGTCTGCGTCTCAACCCGAGGAGGTCACACAGCAAGCCAAGAAGCTGTGTGTCATACCAGTGCAGACGTATGTGATGGAGCCCTCCGCCTTACAGTCACATGTGATGGAGCCCTCCGCCTTACAGTCACATGTGATGGAGCCCTCCGCCTCACACACAGAAGTGATAGAGCCTCACACCTCACACACAGACGTGATGGAGTCTTCCATGCGTCATGGGAGGCCTTGAATGGCTCTTCCTGTGTGTGACGGATTTGACCTGCTGGCACGTTTGAGATCAGGGAACATTTAACCCCCCCCCCCTTCCCCTTTACCCCCCCCCCCTTCTCACTTTCTCTCCCTCCTCCCTCCTCCCTCTTCCCCTTTATTACTGAATTCATAGCTTGTATTTATTCTTAATAACATATTTTGTGCATGTTTGCCATATTGATTTATTTATTGAGTCACTGTGTATTTATTTGGGATTTCGGCAGTTTCAGTCCTGCATAGTTATCGGCAGCACCCGAGTGGAGTCGAGCGTAGAGGTTTGTATGGGTGTATAGTAATGAGCGCCTCAGCAGTGAGCACACACACCTACAGTAAGTGGCGTACAGCGGGGTGATTTGAGCCTGTGGGGGAAGTTGGGCCAACCCTTGTTTCTAGGCAACCACAGACAAAATTGGTCATGTGATCACACACACTAACCCTCGCCTTGTGATGGAGAGCAGCCAATAGAAGAAGTGATGAAGCACTTTTAAGTTCATAAAACTGTTTCAAAGTTCCAAAAGTCATTTTTTTTTATGTTTGAGGAGTTGTGATTCTTGTGTTTGAACGAATACAGACAAGTTTGAAAAAGTCTCACACATGGGTTAGAGCTTTAGGAAGTTACAATATGAGGCTACACTGTTGCTGGATGACACAAGTCATTTAAAATGGTGGTGGGGTAATTTGAGCCAAAAGGTGTGGGGGAAGTTGAGCCAGTGGTGCTGATGATGGAAAGCTCATCTTCACATTCAAAGAGAAAAAAAGTTCATATTCCACTGCAGCTTTGACAAGTTGGATGTCGAGTCGTAGCCCCAGGTTGTGCCAAGAGAAACTTCTTTTTGGGGGGGAAGTCATATTTGAAAACTTGATTATTCCCAGGGATGAACCACATCCTTAAATATATGTACAGATAGTAGTTGGAGACTTTACTGTCATGCCCTCACTTTAAAGACACTACAAGTAAAAACCCCGCTCTAAGAGTGCGTGTTAGTCAGTCTCTACCTGTTCTGCTTAAAGCTCAACTCTGTCAAAAGGCTCTCAAGTGAGTTTGTAACAATATTCAAAGTGACAAAAGACTGTTCTTTTGTTTTGTCTGTTGTTTTTTTTTTGCCTCAGCATATTATTATGAAGTAAATGTTGATCGCACATTGTAAGGCTATAGAGTAATGACATCATCAGAATATAGACTAGTTCCCTATAAGACCCACTTTCACAGTGCAATTCAGCACAAAAGAAGAGCGTCTGTCGTTGTGCAACTTAAACAGAAAGAGAAGATAGCGCTTTTGTTTTCTCAAGGTTAGAAAACCTTCATCGTCATAATGAAGCCTAACAGAGCTCATGATTTTCACCTCAGCCGTGGTCAGACCACACTGCGCTGTCTCTTCCTGTCAAACTAGCTAAGTGTGGCTCGTTCACTCCGTCACTGCTGCAGACCTCCATCTAACTCTGTGTTAGAGAGTCTGAACAGTCACCAGCGTCTTTACTGGCTCGGAGCAATCGTATTCTTTTGCCCTCAGATACTGGTGGATAATGAGATTTCACAATTTGCATGAACAGAGAATCTTTATTACAACATTTTTTTTGACAGTGATGGTAACTGAGCAGCTGTTCCAGAGGTTTCCTGAGTCTATCTGGTGACAGTGTACTCAACATTAGGCTCCAGCTGTCTCTCTGATACAGACCCTCTGCTCCTTCTGGCTCTCTTATGGAAACCCAGCGCTGCATAGGTCACGTCAGCAGAGCTTGGATTCTGTAAATGACAATATATAGTCACTAATGTCACACAGCTGAATATGTGCAAAGACCAGACAACATGTACAGTATCAAACTAGACTTTGATCTTAATCTAAGGTTACATTGTGATTACCTCGCTGTGTTGTGGATTGTGTCCCTCTTCCTTGACAGAAACGACACATCTGGTCAGTGCATATCAGTTCATACTTTCTTGGTAAACAGGAAGTTTTGTATTTGTAAAGTTGGGCACTTGCACCATAAAAAACACATACAAGTACCTGTGTGAAGTTTCCTGATTTTGAGACCCAGAACAATGACGACGATGATGAGGAAAATAACCAGAGCACTCAGGATCGCACTCGTCAGAGTTGCTAGTTCAACAGACTCTTCTACAAGAAAGATACAAGAATACATTTAACTTTTTGTATCATACGCTGCCTGAGATCAGCTCTTCTTTTGACAGCAACTACAGAAGGCACATATCTGTTTCTTTCCAGCCAAAACACAGACAAAGCATCAACAATCTTACCTTGAACCTTTAAGTACGTTGCACTGACAATTATTGACCTATGGTTCCAGTTAGATCCACAGAAATAGAGTCCAGAGTCGGATGAATCCACTTGTTTGATCTGGAGAAAGAGGGTAGTCATGTTGGACGTCATGTTAAACTTTCCATTTTGAAATCCATCACAGAGCGTAACATTGGCATTAGAGCTGAGCATGGAGCAGATGCAGGTGGCGTTGGGTCCTTTGTCCAGTCTGAACCAGACTATGTGACTGGCAGAACTGGTGAAGTTGGTACACATCAGTGTGACTTCTTCACCAGACTGGACCTCCACAGTGTGAAACTCAGAGACGGAGACAGAGATCCAGCCTGAAACAAACAGAAAATATTTTTTTCACAAAGCTGTAATTCAACAGGAATCAAACAATGCATGTAAATCACTAATATTAATGAACAGTTTCTAAGTTTGAGTTCTGGCAGATTACTGAAGGAACGGTTAGCAATGGTTGTATAGAGAAAAAATACATAATTGTACTTACTGCAGGTAAAGAGTAGAGCTCTTATCAAGTTAAAGTTCATCGTTGCGTGTACAGTAGGACTGCACCACTTCAGAGTAGGTGACTGTGAACTTGATCTGTGCTCCAGTGAGAGTGGTCTCAGCGTAAAGAGGCGGGCTGTTCTTCTGTTGATCTGGTCGCTCAGAGGGACAGTAGAAATGCTTAGTAGCAAAGATTCAGTCTGAATAAAACAGGAACTAAACAAACATGTCACGTTTTGCAATTAACAAACAGTTTTTGTTGTTTCAGTGTTGTTGCTGTTTTGAAGACATGTTAGAAATTGTTCTACAGCCGTATTGGTCAGACGAACTTACAGAATAAAGGTAAGGTTCATGATAAAATGTAGAGTAAGACTGCAGTGCTGAACTGTGCTCTAGTCAGAGTGGTCAAAGTGTAACAAGATAGGTGTGTCTTTTGACAACTACCTTGCTCAGGCTAACAACTTAAATACTTTCAGACAAAAGTGCATCAAAGCCACAAAGAGAATGAGACTAAGTTAACCCTGTAAATGATTTTTTTAATCTTCCAGCCTAAATGTAAAAAAGTCTAACTTTGTTTGATGTTCCTTGCCTTTATCATAACTCTTTCCTTTAATACCTCACACTTTAACAAAATGGCGACACACCACTACATACTGCTGCCAGCAATAGGTTTGGTCATTGACATGTAAGTGATAATACACAACGATTTGCCGTGAAATAAGCATCAGAGCATGTTATTGTGCTGTACGTTCATTTGCCACAAGAAAAAGAGAGAGATTTCTGCTTCACGTCAGACTTTATTCAGAGGCGACACCTTCATGATTTACGCCTCGGCTGTGCTCAGACCACACTGTGCTGTCTCTTCCTGAAGTGGTGTGTGCGTCACAAAATACCCTTCACTTCCTGCAGATGGCAGTGTGTGTGAAATGCAGCAGCATTTATTTTCTTCTCACCTGCGGTAACCTGTGGTCTCACCACATCTTGTTAAACTGTCATCTTTAGAATATATACTGAACACGCATTACTCATATAAAAATAATACATTATACAATTGTACATTATAACCATACATAAAATATCAGCCCAGACAATACAATTTCAAAACAGAGTTAAAGTTGGAGTCACCTACATTTGCTCTGGTTTTTGTTCTTTATAAGCTAAATGGCAGAAACACTTTAGTGTTTAACTAACGTTAGTTAATTGATCATTGTCTTAAGTATACTAGGAGTTTTGCATTTTTCAAGCACAACGTTAAAATTCCTCGGGACTTTATGTGTGTATGTAAAACTACTCTCTGTTATGATGAAAGTTCCTCTTCAGACAAGTTTTAGACCATGTTAAAATCTCTGCTGTGATTAATATTTTGTTTAACATGATTTTCCCAGACAAAAAGTGCCCCGCCCACCACGGCTGCTTGTACAAGGTTGACAGGTGAAAGAGCAGAGAGTATCAAGATGCTTAGAGGGGGAAACATAACTCAGAGTGGACATTAATCCTCAGGGAGCACTAATCTTACATGATCTAATTCATGACATGACAAGTGTTTTACACCAATAATACTGATCTTTGTGTTCTTCTGGTGCAAGGGCCCATAACAGATGATGGATGAAGCGTGTGTACCTTCTGTGTACCTTTTGAGATGACCAAAAAATATAGTCTCAAAGCTGATTCATAGAGATGTTTTATGCCAAGCAAATGGCTAAACTCAGAAATGGCTTCAGTAACTGGTGGTAGATACTCACCACAATATCTGAAATGTCCTTTTTCCTGCACCTTTTCACAAATCTGAAGGCAGATTTTGCCAAGTGATGGGAAAAATACAGAAGTAAGTCATTGAAAGCATTTTTATAACATTAAGTCTCTGCCATTTGAGTCCCAGCTGTAATGCTAAGCTGTAATCTCAAAGCTGCCACTGGTGGCCAGAGGCTGTATTGCAGTAATGCTACTGATTACCTCTGCCAAGAAGGTTGAGGTTTTGTTGGTTTGTTTGTTTGTTTGTCATTAGAACTGCACAAAAAGTACTGAGTCGACTTGCACCAACCTTGTTGGGGAGCTGAGGCAAGGGCCAGGGGAGAAACCATAACATTTTTGGGCAGATCCTGATCATTTACTTTGAATTAGATTTTTTTTTTCTCCGAAGTCTAGTGTGACATTGGCCTTGGTGGGGGTCTGCAACTTCTGAATGCCCTTCTACTTAAAACAGTGGTCT